GGAAGGAAGGAAGGAAGGAAGGAAGGAAGGAAGGAAGGAAGGAAGGAAGGAAGGAAGGATTTCTGATGCTCCCTGCCCCCGTCCCCACAAAAAAAACCAAGGAAGAGGTAGCCGCACAACTTGGTGTACTCCCACCCCCCCCCCCCCTCCCTTTTTGCCCCTTGGTCATTCTGTTTCTCTGTTTAGGTAAGGAAATACCTCTGAAACAATGACCCAATGGGCCATGGGTTGTCTAGTACATCTTAAAGTTGCTAAAGTTGAGAAACACCTGCTCTAGAGCAAGCAAGTTATCTATGCTATCCAACATGAGACTCAGTATTAAAATCAATATTTATTCAGTTGTTGAACACAGAAACAAAATAGACTGTCCATACCCTGTCACCTGAAACTGTTTTCCTGATAATGTCCACTGTTTAAAATATATTGGAACAAAGGCCAGTAGTTAAATATCAAATTCTCCTTCAGACATCACAGCTCCCTGTCTCTAGAAAGTTCAGACGATCTGACAACCAAATTTTCTTTCTCTGTTTTTATAGTCAAGTTCTCTTTAAGTGGCAGATTCTTAATAGACATAAAAGACGTATATTTCTCTGTGAGTTTTAATGCGAACAACTTCAGGGATAGGGCCAATAAGTATCAGTTATACATAATAATCCATGCCCTTTTTGTCCTGTCTCCAAAGCTGCTATTGGCTCTCAGAAGATGGAGTCCTATTAATACTTACATAAACAGTAGCATCAGGATCGTTGCAGGAAAAAGGCTAAACTCCCTCACATGTAACCTCCAGGTCTATTAATATTCTGCATGCCCCCAGCTGGTTACTTGCTTAGAAAGATATGGGGTCAATATAGCTTCTCCCTGCCACTTTTTCACAGAAACACAACATGCTCAAGTAGTTTTGAAGATTCATCTATCCATCTTTGGATGAAAGAGTCATGGAACTCCATATAGAGTATAGTTTAAGTCTTTTACTCTAGTCCTTCTTGCATTTGGGATAGGAAGCCCACTAAAGAAAGTTGATGAAACCGATCAACATTTATTTTCGAGTTAACACTGCTAGTATTAAACCACTATTGTTCACTGGATTCTCAGTTTGCTATTTAAGATAGTATGATTCATTACATATCACACACTAGCTGAAAAATGGCTTAAATCCAAACCATGGTTCAAGCCATCTTGAATTCTAAAGGATTCCAAAAAATCTAAAATAATCTTTCTTTGGATTTTTTTTGGAGAGGGGTGGGGGAGAAGTTGTAGCAGTTACAAAAACAATCAGCAGATGCATATTGCCCCACCTTTAAAAAAAGGAAGTATCCAGTCACTTTCATCATTCAGAGCACTAGAAAATATACCAGAGTTTTGCTACCATAAATTGTCCATTTATTTAAACAATTTATATGACCAGCCAACCTGCAAATTCTGATTGTAAAGTACTCACTGGAATTGGGTTTTAACCTTCATCTTCCTTCTAATAAATACTACCAATCAGAACTCTGATGACTTGCTCACTGGATTGCTTCCAGTCCAGATTAACAGAAGTGAAGTCCAACCTATTAGACATTATTAATTAAATTTACATGCTGCCTGACTTCCAGCAACTTTGGGTGGCTTAAAATGATTTAAAACATGAAAACATGACAATAAAAACAAGGAACAAAAACAGGAGAGATGGTAGAATAACAAACCAGGTGGAAGCAAAAGAAAACAACCTAAGGTGGCTTCAGTCATTCCTACCAAAGGACTGGGCAAACACCCAAGTCTTCAGACCCCTTTGAAATGCCAGCAGGGTGGGAGCCATTTTGAACTCGGGTGGAGAGACCTCATTCCAGAGGACAGGTGTTGCAACAGAGAAACTGTGCTTCAAGAGTCCCAATAGATGGCATTGCTTAACTGAAGGAACTTGGAATGTGCCAACCCTGCCACATCAAACTGGCCGGACAGATACTATGGGAAAGATAGGTTAGAAAGCTAACAAATCATATGCACTATTTAGGCTTTCCAGTCAAATAAGAAACAACAGTGTATAAAAGAACACATCCTCCCAATGCTCCAGGTCCTTCTACTTGGAGGCTTCGATGTGCATTCAGTTAAGCATTACTGGAGGTTTCCATTGAGGTGGAAACCCTGCGTGAAGGCTTCTGCTCATGTTCAGTTGGACACATACAGATAATCTCTGAATGTGATAATATGTCCTATATGAGATAATCCTATATGTGATAATTCAGGGACCTTTCATGGAGAAAATTGAAAACAACTTGATGGCACATATCACACAATCAATCAGATCTTTCCAGTTTGAAAATGTCTGGAAAAGACAGGGCCAGTCCACTGGGAATATCAGAGGTATGACCAGCATAAACTCTTGTGCACCATTTGAGTAAGCTGCTGTGTCCTATTCAGGTGTAATACCTGAACAGGGTAACACTGTAAAACTTTTAACATTCTAACAGAAGTATCTGCATAGTTTCCATGAGTAATCTTTCCAGTAGGATGCAGATGGTAGTTTCTGTGTTATTATGGGCAGCTTTACACAAAAGACTTGGCAGGATTAAATAAATTTCACTTATTATATGTCTTCGGGTAATGATTTGGGGCTAATTAAAAATATTTAAATGTGCTTTCTTGACTTAATAGTCATACCACATAACACTTTTTCTTCCTTAACAGCTTTCCTTATTGTAGTAAAATATTAGTTGTTCTTCTCCAGAATCTAGATGCAACAAAACATTTTAAAATGTGGGATCCTCAAAATGACACTCGATCCACCTAGTCTGTGTCTTTTGGATGTATAGAACTCCATTTCACCCA